TGTTCCTAAATATATTATTCAGCTGGTTTATCACCTTGTGATTTATTTTTTTGTGCTGCTGGTCTGATTTAAATAAATTAGCATTTAAAAATGACTTTTTGTTTAAGTTTTTCTTGTGTTTTAGCTTTGAGATGCCAATAAATTAAAACAGTGAAGCTGATCAACAGTGCATGTTCCATGCAGCACTTAAGTGACACTATAAGGGTATTAAGGGGAGCATTAAAATGTTCTTTGGAAAAGTAACTCAAATGACTTTTAACAGTAATGCATTACTTTTTGGTGCAAGTAATCGATAAAGTAATTGAGTTACTTTGTGAATGAAGTAACTGTAATGAGTTACTATAATTTTCAGTAACCAGCACAGGGGTCACCAACATAGCTCTCCAAAGCACCACTTACCAGTAAGCTGCATCTAATATGTTTTGTAGTTATTCATTTTCAGTTACACTTGCATTGATGTAAATTTGAAAATGACAAAGTTGCTTATAAAATTATTATATTAGAGCAAGCTGGTCTCCACAGCAGTGGTTGTGGGTGCGGTAAAGGGGAGGAGATGATTTTAAAACATGGCAAAAAAAGAAAAAAACAAATCATTTTCACAGTGAATAGGAGGAAGAGTTCTTTTTTACCTTATTTGGCGAAGGCAAAGCTGCACAATGTTGAGAGATATTTCAGAATGTGTCACGCAAGCTAACGTTACCATGCTAACTACCCTCCGGACAGCGTGTCTTTTTTTCACAAGACCGGTTAGAAAAAAAAAGCAACTTAAGACTCAATTAGAGCTAGACATTTTTTACTAGAAAAAAACAAGCATTTTCAAACAGGAAAGCAAAACTGTGCTTAAAGACTAGAACAAATATTATATCCATTAACCCCAATGTCCAACTTGGGGCAACTACAATGGCTAGAAGAGTGTTGGCTATATTATAATGCTGTAGATTTGGTGATAATTTCAGTAAACTCTGTTACTCAACTGATTGACAAACATGGTACATTGTAGTGCGGGATTTGTTAAAAATTGTTAATGGCTAATGAAAATATTGTAGAAGTGTTTTTTTTTATGTAAACTTGCAAAGATTTATGAAAAAAAAGTGTTCCATATTTATTGATATTTCTATAGTATTGATATTTCTCTGTTAAATCATTGTTGACAACTATTGTGAGAACTCATTAACATGATTAGTTTCTTCACATAGATAAATATCATTATTTAAAAACAATAACATATAATTAAAAGTAAATTGAGCAAGTTTGTTATTTGAGAAGTGTGTATCAAACTGGTAAACCTTCACATTAATCTGTACCCAAGTAGTAGCTCTCTGTTTCGAAAAGGTTGGTGACCCCTGAACTAGTACAACATTGATAATTACCAGGGAAAGTAACTATTGTCTTACTTTTTTCAAATATGTCAAAAAGCCTGGATCCCCACAATAGGAAATTGGAAATTAAATTTAATATTATAAGAGGTCAAATGGGATTTTATTTGAAAAAAAGTTCTGCTGTTCTTCACATCACACATTTAATTCACGTGTAATCTGCTCTTTTTGAAGGAATATAGCATGTAATGTCAAATGAGCCGTGTGTTGTTGGGAGTCTGCTAGTGTTGCTACAACATTGAGTTCATTCCTTTTTATTCCATTTAATTTGAATATTCAGAAATCAACAAAGGAGTTTGTAATTTCCTCTACTCATCCTCTGTTTCTTTGACATGCTAAAACATACACACACACACACACACAGACAAATATACTGACTCTTATATTGAGTCCGAGGGCACAGAGCTTTTAAGTACGGGTCTATTTTTGTCCCTTGTGTGTTTTCCCCATTTCTTTGAATATTCCAGAGGAAGCCTATCTTTCAGAGTCTGAAGAGTGCTTTCTTAGACGTGTGAAATATGTTTGAAATTCCCCACATTTCCATGTTTTCAGTGCATCTCCAGTTCAGTTGGAATAGTAAAATAGGCGGTCTTACGTAAGCTCTTTAGTTCTCATTTACACCGTGACTCCACAGCCTCATGCAGGCCATTTTAATGAGCACTATAGCATGTATTATCAGTAGAGGTCCATAATGGGACTATATGCGGCCATCCTATTTTTAAGTATATATGTGTATGTGAGTATGATGGAGTTTTTTTAACCAGAGAACAATGGTCTGAATGTCTAAACTGGCTAATCGGCTAGAGCCATCATAAAGACAGGCTTGACAAGATGATAATAAAGCTCCTCTCACCAGCAGTGATAACTGTTAATGCATCAAACCACCCAGCACCCCTGAGGTTCAGAGCGAAAATATGTTCTGTTGAAGCTTTCATAGCACGGTAATGGAAGACATATGTTTTTGAGTTATTAGAAATGGATGTATGAACTAGGGATGGATTAATTCAAATTATTTAAGTCATTTTGCTCATTTGTTCACTCACAATTTGATCTGTTGACTCTTCATGTTCATTTTAAATAGATTTATATTATATAGGTTTAGAATAAGGGGATTTAGATTGTTTGAATCAGTTCTGATTCATTCATTCATTCATTTTCTTTTCGGCTTAGTCTCTTTATTAATCTGTGGTCACCACAGCGGAATGAACCGCCACCTTATCCAGCATATTTTTTACGCAGCAGATGCCCTACCAGTTGCAACCCAACACTGGCAAAGAGTTCTGATTCATTAGCTCATTTGTTCTGTAAATGTTAATGTTGATAGTTTTGGTTCATTATAAATATATTTATGATCAAAGGGTTTTTCTAAATCTTTTTGAGTAAGTTCTGATTCATTTGTACATTTAAATCACTTGTTCCATTTTATTCAGTCTATAGGCTACATCATTGGTAAGTGACTTGTTTTTGTTCATTCCAAATAGATTTATGAACTAGCAGTGAGGTGATTTAAATCTTTTGAATCAATTCATATTAATTTTTTCAGTTATTAGTTCATTGTTCTTACAGGCTAAGAAACTGACCAAGCACTCAACTGAATAGTAACTGACTTGTTTGGGTCCATTATGAATAGAATCATAAACTAGCAATAAAGGGATTTGGATCTTTATAATCAATTCAGATTTATTTGTTCATTTATTCAGTAATAGTTCCTGTAGGTTACATCAATAGTAACTTGTTTTGGTTCATTATATATCTATTCATGAACTCGCAATAGAGTAATTTGAATCTTTTGAATCCCTTTTGATTCTTTTGCTCATTTGATCAGTAACTGTTCATGTAGACTATATTGTCAGTGAGTTGTTTTGCTCATTCTAAATATATTTATGAACTAGCAGTGAGGTGATTTGCATCTTTTGAATCAATTCGTACTCATTTGTTTATTTATTAGTTCATTGTTTTTACAGGCTACATCAATAGTAACTGAATTGTTTTGGTCCATTATAAATAGAATTATAAATTAACAGTGGAGGGATTTGAATCATTTAAATTAATTCAGATTCATTCATTCATGTATTCATAGTAACTTGTTTTGGTTAATTATAAATAGATTCATGAACTAGCGATAGAGTGATTTGAATCTTTTGAATCAGTTCAGATTCATTCATTCATTTATTCAGTAATAGTTCCTGTAGGTTACATCAACTGTAACTTGTTTTAGTTTATTATAAATCTATTCATGAACTAGCTATAGAGTAATTTGAATCTTTTGAATCCATTTTGATTCTTTTGCTTATCTGTTCAGTAACTGTTCCTGTATTCTATATTGCCAGTGAGAAGTTTTGCATAAATAGATTTATAAACAAGGAAGGTTTTGATTTAAGTCTTTTGAATCAGTTCTGATTCATTTGCTCATTTAAATCACTACTTCAGTCTACATCACAACTGAGTGACTTATGTTTATTATAAATACATTGTAATAGCAATGGTGTTTTTGGAATCTTTTGAATCTGTTCATTTGTTAAATTTCTGATTCTTCAAATCAACAGGGACATGTTCACGTTCATTATAAATAGATTCATGCTCTACCAGTGGGTTGATTTTGAATCTTTTGAATCAGTTCATTTGTTTACTTATGACTTTATATATGTTTATTATAATTAGACTTATGATATTACAATAGAATAATTTGAATCTGTTGATCAGTTACCCATTTGTATGTGCTACATTACCAGTGAGTTAGTAGTCTTGTTCATAATAACTAGATTTGTAAACTAGCAGTGAGTTGGTTTAAATTTTTTGAATCAGCTCTGACACATTCGCTCGTTCTATCATTCACCATATCTGTAGGCTACAACACAATCTGGAGAGCAATGACTCAGTGTCATGTCCATCTAACCCAGTCACTGAATCATTCACTTAAAAGATCCTGTCAAAAAAATGTGAACATCGCACTTGTTGTATACTGTGCGGCAAATAATGATTAATTATATATTTTTGTTATGCATTCAATAACATTTTAACTTTACATGACAGTTGTACAGGCCGTTCCTGTAATGAATAAATGAACATGACATGAGTCACGTATTGCTCATGGTGTAGCTTATGTGCGTAGCTCATGTTCATTCATTCACTAAATCATTCACATGTTATATGAGTCATTCAATTAAAAAGATTCTTTCAAAAACACTAACTGTCATTGTGCATTATACATTGACAAATTCTACTGTTTCATTATTCTTTGGTAAACAGGCTCAATTTCAGACACATTTTTGCTCTTCTGGGGAAAAGACTTGACATTCAGTTCATTATAATATTACATTGTGGGATATCATTCTCAGCGCATCCAGTAGGTCATCCATCAGATTATGTTATTCATCACAAATTCAAGTCTTATGTACACATTAACAGAAATCATTCCAAGTAGGAGCAGGAAGTTCCACACAAACAAGTCTAATTAAAGCTGTAGTTTTGTTCATCTCTTCTTTTATTGTAGCAACACACTTTGCTCTACTCGGCCTCTGAGTGCTTGATCTTGGTCAACATGTATTGATCATGCTCTTTTTATACCTTTGTTCTACCATGTCTGTTATCTTATCTCCGGTCTGACTCTCTCGCTCTCCACAGGTTTTCTAAGCTCAGGAGATCAGTCTGCGAAAGGGAATTATGGGCTACTGGACCAGATTCAAGCCCTGCGTTGGCTCAATGAGAACATCGGGCACTTCGGAGGAGACCCGGAGAGAATCACCATTTTTGGCTCCGGCGCTGGAGCCTCTTGCGTCAATCTTCTCATCCTGTCCCATCATTCTGAAGGTTTGTTGACATGATAATCATCTAAAGGAAGGTCACTTTTTAAAACAGACTCATTTTATGATGCCTGTTTTGAATCCAGATCTATTTATACAGTATACACATTACAACGTTTGCATGTTCTCACGTGAAACAAAAAGAAAAATCTTGTGTGACTCTGTGAAAGTGAGCCTGATTTTTGGCACTGCCTTGCAGTGTGTGTTAGTTTGTGTGTGTGTGTGTGAGACTGCTTTACACCGCTATCTCGAGATCACACGTGCGTCTGCATTTGATGCCAGTTTATAATGAGTGCTGTGTGATAAAAATGGAAGGATGTGAGACAAATTTATAATGAGCAGCGTGTACAGCTATGTGTGTGTGTGATGCAGAAGTGTTGGACTGCAGCTGAGCTGATTCTTAATTGATTTCATAGGGAACTGGAGCTGGGGGGTCTTGTAATAGAGTATAGTGTGTGAATGTGAGTGTGTGAGTGTGACTGAGGGGGTGGGGGAAACATTTTAATAATTAATAATAGAATCTGCAGATGAAAACCGTGGGACACTTTACATAACGGTGCAGCAGGGTTCTGAAAGCCAAGACGGTTTCCTCATGCTTATCCAGAGCATTTTCCAACACTGCCAAGTTCAGTTTGTGTACTTTGTGTTGGTTACACACCATTGAAGAACAGCTCAACATTTCTACCTGGGCTGAGTATTGTGACCAATTTGACTATTTGATTGGATTCTTATTCATATGCCTTCAATTTGAATTCGAGTTGATTCTGTATTTATTAGCAAATGTTTGCTTTGAAACCCTTTTTAAAGGAACAGTTTCAACATAGGCTCATTCTGAAAACGTCCCCTGACACACATCTCTGGAGATCGTGAATTATGTAGCCAGAAGTACTTATGGCTACTACATTTCATTTTTTAAAATTCTATTGTTCCTTTTCGCGCTTACCGCGCTAACCGCTTACCTCAGTATCGGCAGCTTTCCCGCTGTTACCAGTTTGTCTTGTTAGCTCGTCATGTACGTTGGTGGACTTTAGATGCAGAGAGGAATAACCAGTGAATAACAGGGTGACATATCAAATTGTGGTAAAAAACAAGTGAGCACTTCTCTTTTTCTGGATTGCTTTTTAAAAATGTCAGTTGGGTTTAGGGAAGTGGGTGGGCGGATCAATCGGTGCTTTTGAAAGCTCCATTGGTTGGGTTCAGGGAAGGAGGAGGGTGGGTCAGTAGATCAGTCAGTCAGTCATTCAGTAAGTCAGTTAGTCAGTTGATAGCATCCTCTGGTATATTTACGAAAACTTGCGAAAACAAAAACTGCAAAAAAATGTATTTGGCTTTCTCTAGAAATGTATATAGCGGTATGTTTTCATAATGAGCCTAGGTTAAACAGTTTAAACCAAAGTTAATATTACACCATAATTTACCCACCCTTCTGCCATCCGTGGTGTATATGACTTTTTAACTTTAAAATTTTATCCCAGCTTTGTATAGTGGCTTTTTATTTTGAAACTTCCAAATGTTCATAAATTCATCGTCACACTTACCCATACGCCACCAGGGTGTTAACTCCTATGAAGCAGATCTATGTGTTTTTGTAACTTAAATATGTCAAAGTTTTAAATTGTAAACTCAAATCGGCAACGGTCAAATTCCATATGACATATTATATATGACACATTCTTATTGGAAAACTACAGAAATAGATGCACCTCGCAGGAACCACTTACCACAGGTTTGTTCACTACAGAAAACAACAACAAACAACAAAGCAAGTTGGTTTGGCATTACTGTATAACATTTTACAGTATATATTTTTCATACAATGCCACATACATGTGTCTACCTATCTTGTGTTGTATCAGTTACACATAACATGCTGTCAGCCACTGGAGTCAGTCATTGGAGTTTGTAATAAATGTTTTTTTATTTTGATCATTTTTTACAAAAACATGTCCAACACAGGTTCATTCTGAAAACGTACCTCTATATATATTTCTGGAGAGCGCCAAATACGTCCCAGGAGCTACGTTGTTTTGCAGTTTTTGTTTTCACGAATCCACCGGAGGCTGCTGCTGCTTTTCAGATCTCAAATTTCTCTCACGAGTGCCATTTGCACTGCTAAACCCAAACAATAATGTTTTCAAAAGCACAGACTGACCCGGCCACCCACTTCCCTAAACCCACCTGACGATTTTCAAAAGCAATCCAGAAAAAGAAAAGCCCTCGACAGACTTTTTACCATGTTTCCGATTATACCACATTCTCACCCTGTTATTTACTTGTTTATTTTATTTTTCAAATTCTGTTTTTGTCTAACCCACTTTTTGGAACCGTTTTTCACCGGACTCTAACCCCATTGTCAAATCCTCTCTGCGTTTCAAGTCTGCTGATATACATGGCGAGCTAGCTGGACAAACTGGTAACAGTGGGAAAGCCTTCCACACGGATGTAAGCAGACAGCTGGTAAGCATGAAAAGAAACAGCATCATACTGCCCTGTAGCATTCATTTTAAAAATGAAATGCAGCCATACGTAGCTCGGGCTACATAATTTGCAATCTCCAGAAATATATTTATACATAGGGCTATGTTTTCAGAATGACCCTATGTTCAACACATACATCGATTTTTAAGACATTAGTTAACTGCCTGGTGGTGTATGAATCATACCTGCCAACACTCCCATTTTTCCCGGGAGTCTCCCAAATTTCAGACGCATTTCCCGCCGCCCTCTTAGTTTGTTATTTCTACTGGAAATCTCCCGTTATTTCACCCGCCCCCGGTCCTCAACTTTTTGGTACAGTATATAACACCCCTGGGTTGCCAACTTTGTAATAGTGTCCGATCGCAGCTGCCGCCAGAAATCTGGTTCACGGTACAGTTACTAACACTACAGTACAGTTACTAACCTGGTTCTCAACTGTTATTCAGACAAACAAGCTTAACAATAAAACACTATCCTACATCGTTCTACAGTGAGAAAAACATATAATCAAATTTTAAAAGTACTCTGTGTTCATCTGCCAAAAAAAAACAAAAAAAAACAGGGGCATCTGACACAAAAACACACAGAGAATGGCCGGCGGTGAGTAAATTAAGAGGTCATTTTGATTTTTGGGTGAACTATTGATTTAAATATAAATGCTGGTCTGAAACCCTCTTACTCAGCTGAATGAATGGAATACTCATTTACATTAACAGTAGAGCAGATAATAATGTTTACACCAGATGTACACTGTCATGTGACGCTGCAATAGCTGGAAGCTGTCTACTCTAGATGCGGCAAAGTGACCATTGCTAATCCATTTGTTTTCATGTGTAGTGTGTAGGTGTGGCGATGTTTTAGTCCTTGCAGGCACGACTTACAAATGATATGGGTTATGGTGACTTGAACATCATTGCCGTTGAACATGAAATACCTCCACAATTCAATTTTTCCTGTGCTGGCTACAGTTACCTTCTGCCATGATCATCTGACTGTTTTTCTGTTTTGTGAAGCAACTCAAAAGATGGCGACATCTTCAGGCTGAGAGACAAAATGCAGATAAAATTGACATTCCCTGAAGTAATGCAAACTCCAAAACAAACATTGTCTTTGTCTAATTTTGTCGGAAACTATATCACAGCAGTGTGTCCTTTGATTTGGCTTGAAGAGTATCATGGCTCAGTCAGCAGAATATTTTTCATGATGTATTCTAGTCTGAAGTAGGGCTGTGCGATATGGACAAAAGAAACCTATCACGTTTTTCCTGAACAACATTGAGATTTTGATTTTAATCAGGATAATGTCACGAACAGATGGAATCTGTGTTTACAGTGTGAATCTGAAACCTATTTCCAAAGGTAAAACAATTAGATCCTAAAGTGGGAGCCAAGTTTTTGCACATTTTTTTTTTTTTTCAGTTGGAGGCATTTAGGTTTCGCTTGACTGAAACTGACTATTTAAAGTCAATGTAAAAACATTTAAAATTTCACTGACCTAGCCTTTTGGTAAAAAAAAAAGAGATCCGGTGTCTTTATTTTGCTCATGGTCATGTGTCACACACTCTCTCTCCACATTGACTCACTCACATTACAGCCAGCTCCCTGACATCTCTTACTCATTGTCTTGTAACTGATCCCGGTTTTAGGTTTGTTCCAGAGGGCCATTGCGCAGAGCGGCTCTGCCATATCCAGTTGGTCAGTGAACTACCGGCCCCTGATGTACACCAAGATCCTGGCCAAGAAGGTGGGCTGCAGTTACAGTGACACTGCAGATCTGGTTGACTGTCTGCGAAGGAAAAGCTACAGGGAGCTGGTGGATCAGGATGTCCAACCTGCCCGATACCACATTGCGTTTGGACCAGTGGTGGATGGAGATGTGGTCCCTGATGACCCCGAGATCCTCATGCAGCAGGTGTGATGTTGAACACTGCGGGGTCCATGAGATTAGAGTTCTGCCAGAGTCTAACCATGACAGTTCCTTAGCGAAAGTGTGTACTGTGGGTGACATTTCTGTGATGTCCTCAGGGGGAGTTCCTGAACTACGACATCCTGTTGGGGGTGAACCAAGGTGAAGGGCTGAAATTTGTGGATGACAATGAGGGCGAGGAAGGAATTTCAGCTGCTTCCTTTGACTACACCATTTCCAACTTTGTAGACAACCTATATGGATACCCAGAGGGTAAGCTTCAATGATGCATGCTTACACACATATACAATATATTATCAAGTATTAGGAGTCTGATTTGCCATTGCCAACAATGAATTTACAGCCACCAATGAGCAATGCTGTTCATTTACTTGTTTGGATGTGCAATTGAATTCAAAATGAGGCTAATGTAAACAATCATAAGGATTACTGTTGGCAACACTGATATACACATCTGCACATTCTCTCAGCAACTGTTCCTCAGTCTAATTTTACCCCTCACCTTGGGTGCTTCTGTCTCACTGTCTTCTTTAATCGGTCAAGGTGCCCTCCTTTGTATGACAACCTACTCTGTCTTTCAACATCCAACATTTATCTTTCTCCTTTTGTCTTTTTCTGTCCTTTATTAGGTAAAGACATATTGCGGGAGACTATAAAGTTCATGTATACTGATTGGGCTGATCGTGACAACGGTGATATGCGGCGTAAAACTCTACTTGCACTTTTCACGGACCATCAATGGGTGGCGCCAGCAGTGGCCACAGCTAAACTCCATGCTGAGTTCCAGTCCCCCGTTTATTTTTATACATTCCACCACCACTGCCAGACGGAAGCACGACCCGAGTGGGCAGATGCAGCACATGGTGACGAGATCCCCTATGTGTTTGGTGTTCCCATGGTGGGTGCCACAGAACTGTTTCCCTGCAACTTCTCAAAGAACGATATCATGCTCAGTGCTGTGGTGATGACGTACTGGACAAACTTTGCTAAGACAGGGTGAGAATTTAAACTGTCCAAAAACGTCTTACTTGATTACACCAGAATTAATGTTCAAATGCAAATGCCTCCAGAAAGTGCCTTCAGAAATTTGATTCTAAAATTAGCATTTTTCAGACTCCTATGTTTATGTTCAGTTATTTCACTTTAAAATCAACGACAAGAACCTATTCTTTGCCAGAAATGTGAAATTACTGAACCGATACACATGAGCCTGTGAAAAATGCTTAGTATATGGCACTTAAAGGTATGTGCAGCTGAACTCTTCAAATGTACAAATGTGAATCTTTTTCTCTTGTGCTTTTATTTCCTTCTCACTTTGTTTATTTTATTTTTCCAGTGATCCGAACATTCCAGTACCGCAAGATACCAAGTTCATCCATACTAAGCCCAATCGCTTTGAAGAAGTTATCTGGACCAAGTTCAGCTCTAAAGATAAGCAGTACCTCCACATTGGGTTGAAGCCTCGAATCCGGGACAATTACCGTGCCAACAAAGTTGCCTTCTGGCTTGAGTTGGTTCCTCACCTCCATACCATCCATGATGAGATCCCCACCTACACCACGCAACTGCCACCAGGAGCCCCGCACCGGCCTGGTTGGAAGGGCACAGCCCAGAGCCCCGGTACGCGCTCTACTCGCCACCCCACGGTCTCAACCTACCCGCCTGACCCGGACCTTGAAGGTTCTGAGCACCCTCCTGAACGCTTCCCCTTTCCAAGCAATACACGGGACTACTCAACTGAGCTGAGTGTGACGGTGGCAGTGGGTGCATCGTTGCTCTTCCTCAACGTGCTGGCATTTGCCGCATTGTACTACAAACGCGACAAACGGCATGAGCTTCTGCAACGCCGGCATCGCCGCCTCTCTCCCCAGCGTGGGGCAGTGCCAGGTGTTGGGATAGTGGGAGGTCCACCCCATAATGACCTTGCACTGAGTCAGGAGGAGGAGCTAATGTCCTTGCAGATGAAGCAGCAGAGGGTAGAGCTTGACCATGGCACACCCCTTCCAACACGTGGTCTCCACGGCGACCTGGAGCCCCTGAGACCACCTGTGTGCCCGCCGGATTACACTTTGGCTCTACGGCGGGCACCTGAGGATGTGCCTCTCATGACGGCTAACACACTTTCCATGATCCCCAGCACCATCACTGGCATGCAGCCCCTCCATGCCTTCAACACGTACCCCCCTGCTCCGGCACCAAGTGCGGGACACAGCAACAACGCCCTGCCCCATCAGCACTCCACCACGCGAGTATAGTAACCCCTTGAGGGGACCAGGTCCCCCAAAAACATAGGAACACAAACCTCAAGTACTAAGAGTGGTGCTCTACATGGATACTGTCCAACTCACCGCTCACATTCTTTTTAAGTCCATTCCCAACACACTCTCTTTCTTTCTCTCTCCTTCTTTCTTGTTTTACTCTTCCTGCTCTTCTCGTTCTTGGTATGAGCAGTGGAGAAAGTTTTGGGTGGAAAAGCAAACGTTGGCCATTTTCCCCTCTGAGTGCAGCAGCTATCCCCTCCCTAAAGTTTGATTTTGTTTCTTTTTTACTCGCATACATTACCGTCTTTCTTTCTCTTTCTTTCTTTTTTCTTTTCTTCTTCCCAGCAGTCTTCTGCTCTTCTGTAGCTGTTTCTAGTCCCCAAAAAGAACAGTTTTTCCTACTTCGGACTGTTTTATAAATCAAGAGAACATACATGTAAGATATGTATTATTGATAACCTTATAAGGCTATGAATGAAAAAAGATTCTACTATCTAATTTTTACCAGCATTCTTGTGCCAAGTACTGTGATCATCGTCCAATCAGACGCAGTCTCGCGGACGGACGTGGAGAGAATCGCCTGAACTGGATTTATTCAAGGAATTTGCAGAAATTAGAAGAAAAAAAAGTGCCAACTTAGTTTTCTTTACTTTTGTTTCTCTTTTGTTTTTTCTGTTCACTTTTGCTTTTTGTTTTGCACTGTCACTGTTATTTGCCTACGGGGAGAAATGAACAACACAACAAATATCTATATAAAAAGTAAAGATATATAATAATTCAATTTATATCCTGATTGCGCTTTGGGAAATTTGCATGATTTATTTTTTAAGAGGAAAAAGGACATCTGAGATTCAAGACTCTTCTTTCTTTGTCTTTTAATTGTTGTTGTCTTTTTCTGCAACAGTCTCTCTTCCTCTCTCTCTTTCTCTCTGTCTCTCTTTTTTTTTGTTGTTGTTGTTTTTTTTACATCAGCTCTACTTTGTGCACTTCATTTGGAGATTCTTTTCCCTCTGTAGATACATGCTCATATCCGGAAATGAAACTGATTCTTGACGATAATAAAAGGATAAATATTTTCCTTCTTTTTTTTTTTTCATTTATAATTACGGAAGTGGTACGACAGAGCTCATCTCCCGGAGAAGGACTGATCAGATCCACGATCCCCTCCTTTTTTTTTTTTTTTTAATCTCCGATCGTATAGTCCTCTGTAGTAACATTATGCCACACTGAGTTAAGGAACGTTCACTGTGTCTCTCTCTCAGTTTCTCTGTAAAGACTCGAACTCTGCTGAGTTGGACATCCAGAGCGACGGGATCAACACCTGCGTCCGTTCCCGCACAGCTGGAGTCTCCCCGTCTCTCTCTTTTATCCAGAGCCCAAGAGAGCTCATGACGTGTCCAGAACATTCTTCCCCTTCACTGACACTGACCTTTGAGTGATTATCTCAGTTTGAGCTCACTTGTCATCAGGCGGACATCTTGTTATATGCCCTGTCACAAGTCCCTGTAAGACCTCCAGGTTCAACTTCTCACCTCTCAATGTGTTTTTCTTTTCCAAAATCTCTCTTTCAGGGTGCCGAGAACGATCTGGTGGGAGGAATCGGGTGGTTTGCATTCATCTGTGTGTAAGTGTGTGTGTGTATGTGTGTGTGTGTGTGTGTGTGTGTGTGTGTGTGTGTGTGTGTGTGTGTGTGTGTGTGTGTGTGTGTGTGTGTAAGTGTGTGTGTGTGTGTAAGTGTGTGTAAGTGTGTGTGTGTGAGGAACAGGACAGATGTGGCCTACAAATGCATTCTGAATATTGACTTGGTGGTGGTTGAAAACGAAACATATTGCGCTACTGTGGACGAGGCTTTATTCCTCACGACACTTAAATATACATTCACAATACATAACGCAAGCAAGCCAATCTCATTGCCATCCATTTTGCGTTCTTTCGTTGTCTTGTTTTTGGAGTTTCTTGTTTGGTGGGTGGATGAAAAACACACAAGGCCACTTTCTGTCATGCCATGAGCGAAAAAAAATATATACAAGATGCAAACTGTACATTTTTATAAGTGTAAGAGATGACATGGTCTTTGTAAATATTTTGTTTATTGTTGGGCTCACAGCCAAACGTATCCACTGTAAAAAAAAATAAAAAAAAAAAAACAAACAAAAAAAGCAGGTGCAAGCTCATTCAGCCAATCCCATCCCTCCACCCGCGATTCTGAAGACCCTTATCGATTTTTTTTCATTTAAAGATTTAAATATAAAGCTTTCTTTTTAACGAAAGACATTAAAACGTAATGAATGTTGAGGGAAGCAAATCCACGTTACAGGATACTTTGAGTCAAGAATGAGCGCACTTGGTGAGAATAATTGCATTTGGAATTCAAATTTGCTGCAAGACCCAACAATGCGGCGGACAAAAGAGTCGCTGGCTGCATCTGATTCTGTTTCGTTTGGAAAAGGAGGGTGGGACCGATCAGAATATTTTGTTGGAGAGAGCTAAATGAGAAAGTCTATATGAAGAAGATGCTTATTTTATTCTTTGTACGAGCTCGTAGGATGGAAAATCAGCCCCGTTTGGGTTTTTGGTTTTAGTTTTTTTTGGAGAGGCCTGCTGTTTGAGTCATTCTCCTGGGTGTTCTTCATCACGCTTCAGTGGACTAAATGACACTGTGGGGTGTTTGTTTTCTCTTACCTGGTTGTGACTTCTTAGAAATTTAATGTTACCCAAACCATTGGAGATTTGTCGGACTGGGGGTGGGATTTTTGTTTGTGAATTTGAGCTGCATATATTTCAAAGTAGAGAATTTAAACAGTTCATATTTTTCTACAAAATAAAGGGGAGAGAGAGATGATGAATCTACCGGCAACTGACAGACATATAAAGCACACTCTCACCAGATATACGTGGTGATACTTTTTGTCTGGGTTGCCTATGTATTATAGAGGAATAAACAAAAAAAATTAAGAAAAAAATACTGAGAAACACAACTGTTGAGTATTAATGCTTGGTCGCCAAAAAAAGACTTGCACCTGTTGAGTTTCATTTTATTGAATTTCAGCAACGTTAAAAAAAGGCTTGAGATGTGGGGACTGTATGACCGCAATGGGTCGAAAGATTGAAATTCATATTTCTGTTTCCTATACAGGCTACTACACACTGTATGTTGTGTATCTGAACTGGACAACATTAAAAAGGTTATTAAACATATACTGACAGGCCTGTTTCTTTCTTTCAAAAGGGTGTCTAAGTATTACAGTTTCAGTCAAACTTCCAGGTTTGTCCTCTAGATGGAAGCATATCTTATAGTGACTTTGTTGAGGCTGCATGATGAACTCTGCTGAACCCTAAAAAGATCTTTGGTCCTGCCGTTAGATGTACGATAAAGGACTCAGAAAAAGGCATGTGTCCTGTAGTAAATAAAACAAAACGAACAAATAGCAGCAATTCGTGGAAATTAAAAGTATCTCTGGTGTGTGGTAGTCCATGTAGCCGCGAACATCTTGTCTGGCAGACACCGCTATGAGATTTTGAGCCTGCGACATGTCCACTTGTGTGCTCTAATGTGGTCCTGTGCAGGTTCTTCTGACATGTTTATCTTGCTGAATATGTCATGGTGTCACTACCGCTTTGCTTCACTCCTCAAATGATGCATACTTTAGAAACACAACTGCAGGCTTCTAGATTTCTAAACAAATGACACCCAGCTCTTTAAAGGGCTCTTGAACTGACTTTTTTTTCAGTTGTTTTGTACTGTTCTATGAGGTCTACTCATGATGTTAAGATGATTTGTACATTAGAAAGCTTATTTAGAAGCAAGGGTGGACTGGGACTAAAAATCACCCCTGGCAATATAGCCAAACCAGCCCACATTACCACACCGACACAGCCCCATCCATGGACATGCACATTAACTACTTTTATTGGTGTACAGATGGGGAAATAATATAAACAGTACCATATGTAATAAATATTTATTTTGTGATTGGACTTGTGAGGGAAACTGGGAGGAAAATCACGCGAACATGCAAACTCCACACAGAAACACCAACTGACCCAGCCGAGGCTCGAACCATTGACCTTCTTGCTGTGAGGAGACAGCGCTACCCATTGCTCTGCCCCCTTTCAAGACTATTTCAGTTAATTTTATGCATTTGGCATCATTTGCTTTCTTTGAGCTTTTCGGCACCGCCTTTCCTTTTTTACGGTCCATCTCTGACAAGTAGCTTGTGTTGCACTCACTGTTTTTTTGACATTCTTGCCAGATTTTGATTATGGCCGCGTAACCTCTGATTGGGTCGGCCCATCTCAAAACCAGCCGGCCATTGCCGATTGGGCCAATGCAAAACATTTATTATTATTATTACTAATATCATCATCATCATCATTATATTCCACATCTTGCAAGAGACAAAAGCTGCCTGCATGTAAAAGCAATACTTATAAAAATATATATATAGAAAATAGCATGCCGGCCCACATTTAAAAAATGGTCCAGCCCTTCTAGCATTTGCCAAAATTGCCAGATGGCCAGTCCGCCCCTGTTTAGAGGAAATGAAATGTTTTAGAAGTAATAAAATATTTTGACATCGTTCATACTTCATCCTTTATAGATGGACATGTAATAAAATCATTGTGTGGTGTGATGTGACTATCCGCTCCAGTATAGCTGGCACAGCATCATCCGAAAATTCAACAACTTGATGTTTTGGCTGTTTGTCATCAATGTAAGCTGTTTTTAGACATTTTGAGTTCTGAAACTGCGCTGACCTCTTATGTTTCAAAAGATCAAGCAAATTTCTCAGTTCATCTCCTTTTTAAGAGGTTAGTTCATGCCAAAATTAAAACTCCTAAATTACTCACCCTAATGTCGTTACGAAGCCAAAAAAATAATAAAAAATGTGTTAATCTTTGAAACCCAAATGAACATTATTTTAATCAAATTTTAGTCTGTTCTTCCACTCAAAGTCTCTTTGTCCAAGATATCAGTCGTACTGGTTAAAGTGCTTTTTATGTTGAATACTACAGTAAAAGAATGCTGTCTAACTCGACCTGATATCGATATCGATATATTTTTTACAACCCTTCACAATTGAAACAAGGCTATGTATGAGAAAGTCTTACCTCTGATTTATATTCGGTGACACTAGCTATGCTTCCATCCACCTATTTTTATGCACATTTTGGATATGCATATAATAAATGGTTGATTGTAATGCCATAATGCCCATAAGTTTTGAAAATACTGTATAATAATTAGTGCATAATAAATGTATGTGAATAACTGAGTCGGTTAAACTTTTTATTCTATAAGAAAAGATTAGCATAAACTACAATGGAAACACTTTTATCAAACAAATTCCAGTATGTGCACTGAAAAAAGTCATGTGATGTTGGTATTAGAGATCATGTGATGATAAAAATGTGTGTGAATGGACAAACCAGCAGGCTGAGCACACTATAAAACATCTAAAATGTTATTTTGGTCATTTTAAAAGGCCATAACCATTTCAGTATTAGTGTTGTATTATTATTGACCTCCAGAATTGTTAAGAGCGTCTGTGCTCTGCGGCTCACGCCCATAAACACCACTGCGCTCACTCATTGTATTAAAGAAAAGATTCACACAGCTTCTCCTACCGCGGCAAATTCCGTTTTTACCGTTGATATTTGGCGCCAGTTAATCAGGAAGTGACGATTTTGTTCTCTTTGGCTCATTGGATGGAAACGCAGCTTTATTCACGTGTCTTTTATGAGATATTCCTGTTTTGCACATAAATTTAATTGGCATCTTTGGATGGAAACAAATGTCTGTAAGTGTCACCATTCAGAATTAAAGCACACCAATTAATTTGTCATCAACAAAAATTACAGTAACGACGTATAGCAGCCGTGCGGAATCCTGGAAAATAAACCAAACTCTGACCAATGTGAGCAGATTTTACCTGCTTGTGACTTGTTTCAACTATTTTGGTCTTTTTAGAAACTTTGCCATGTGAAAGTGAACCACAGCCAGAACAAAAAGCATTTACAAGTGTGAACGCACCCTCAGAATTAATTCAACATATCTTCATTTGGGTCCTGTAGATGAATAAAAGTCTTTGGAGCAACATGCGGGTGAGTAAATGATTCTCCTTTAGGGTTAAACTAAGATTCAAGCCGGAGTATCATGTCTCCATCAAGTGTTGTGGTCCAGCTTGTGGCGGTTATCTGGTATCAGCTGTTTTGCCGTTGGCAGGCTGGAGCAGCTGAAAGCAGGAGTCGGACTTTTCCTCTCAGGAAGCTGCTCTGCACCTGCAGAAGTTCTGGGAGAGACGAGACCTCCTGCGTCTGTGAGCTGGCAGGAGCTGAATCATCTGGAAGAACTGTGGACTCGGCCTGCTGCGCAAACACAGCGCACTCATTAGGGAAAATTGATCATCCCCGAAATTCACAAAATGGATAAATTGCAGCTCTAGAATCTGATTGGATTTGGCCTGGTAAAACAGCCACGACGCACGCAACAAAGCAAGGCTTTGAAGCGTTGGCCGCTAAGCTAGTTAGCGCTTCCATTTCAAGATTTGCCAGCTGTATTGTGCGCACTGCACAGTGTTGTCGTTTAAGCGTGATTCATTATGTTTTAGCACAGATGGAGTGCTTCACCGATGATGATTGATATATATTGATTCAGCTTTCCATTCACTCTTATAGTTCCACAGACAGCAATGAATCACATTTTGGGCCTTTGGTTTACTATGAAGAAATAAAATCTTACAATGAATAGCTGAATTATAAAATACACATTTGCACATATTTAGGCATCCCTATGGTCACTTTAATATATTCAGCAGACAATTTAAGATTATAGCTACATCTGAATTGAAAAAAGTGATACTAGTTTTCTGCTGACTTTGCACTCAAGACAAATTACTCAGAATTTCTGTGGAAAGTTAGTGAGTTCTTTATTAATATAAGCATGTATTCATGTTTATTTGGTGCTATTATTATTAGTAAAGCTTAAAGGGATAGTTCACTCAAAAATTACAATTTCCTCACCATTTACTGACCCATAAATGCTTCTAAACGTCTATGAATTTCTTTCTTTTGCTGCATACTAGGGTAGGCTACTACTATGTGGTAATACTATGGAAATTAATGGCTGTTTTTTATCTTCAGCATATCTTACTTTGTGTTCAACAGAAACTCAAACTTGTTAGTTAAATGAGTGAATGATGACAGAATGATGACAGAAATGACATTTTCGGGTATACTTTTATATTCTTTATATTCACTTGCACTTTGTGCTGATTAAACTGTGACATCTATACAGTCGTCTATCATGCCTAAAAGAGCATTGATTGAATTAATTTCCAATTAAAATGATCAGAATTTGAATCAAAACATTAATTCTTGTGATTATTACGACATATGCTACTATTAGGGAAGTTTTATAGAGACAGGATTGATCATAGGTTTAAGAATTAATTTCAATGAATCGATTGCATAATAGACATTTGAGATTACATTCACTTTTTCTGGATTTGTTTAGTATAGACATTGTTTTATATTCAGAAGTATGAAAAAAAAATTAAGAGATTAATTGAAAACTCTTGCTTTCTCTGTATGTAGTTGATTTTTTGAGTGAAATGTTCATTTTTTGATATTATAAAGGTCTAATAAAAGTTAGACATTTTGTCCAGTAAATTACAATTGTTCAGCATGCTAAATGATTTGGTAAAACTTTATTTGAAGTTGGTGTTTATAAGACTGTCATGAAACTTTTATAATAATGACATGACATGATTTTATGCATGTTTAGGATAAATGTCATTAAGTGTTTTTGCTTAGTTGTCATTTTAAACATAAATGTGACATTGTTTTAGATGTCATTGTTGTGAATACTTTACATGAATACATCACAACCTGTCTATGTCTTTATCATGACAACTTGACATGACCCAGACAATTTAAGCTGTCATAAATCTGTCATAAACATGATTGTCATGAAGCTATTATAATTGTGTGATAAATTTAATAACAGTGTGATTAATATGACTTCAAGTAATAAAATTGATTTTGTCAATAAAATGTCATCAATGACACTGTGTTAAAATTATTTAACAATTCATTGAGAATTTTATTAAGAAACTGTAATGGCAAATTTATTTTGTTCCGCTAAAAAAAAAATATCTGAAAAAATATTCATCGCATGATTATAATTGGCCTGATGACAGTCATGTTTATGACAGATTTATGACAAGTAATGTAGTCTTGATAATGTTAAGTTGTCAAGCCAAAGGTTATGATGTATTTTTATTTAAGGCAACTTGACATAACAAAGACCCTTAAACACATAAGATTCATTCTAGGGTTGCATGATTAATCGAAAATGATCGCAAACTCTAACGATCTTAATTCAGCTTTTTAACAACAATTTCGTTTTCAAAAAAGCGTAAAGACGGTCGCACAAGTCTTCAAGTAAAGTTTTACCAAATGTGTTTAATTCCTTTTGATTAAAAATCTAAGGAGGCCTGTAAGGCATGTGATGGTGGGAAAAAATAGTTGGAAGAAAAGAAAAACTGGGTGGGAGAAAAAATAGCTAAGAGAAATATGGGAAAATACTTAATGATAGGATGATAGAATGAAGGGTTGACATGTATGAAGTGAACAGAGCAGTGTTTTTTGGACAAGAGTTTTGCGAGAGAACGCAAAAACTTAAAAATACATATTTTCCTATCACTCAGTTTTTTTTCTCCCACCTATTTTTTTTCTCACACCCAGTATTTTTTTCCACCCATTTTTTTCCCATCATCACGTCTCTTCCAGGTCTCAGTGCTGTCTAGAAAGGGAATTTAAACATCTTATTTGTTGTTTAATGCAAACAAAAAAGCTCTAAATTACTGGTCATTTAAAATAGATATTTTGCGCAAACACAACTAAAATTCATAGATTTTTTAGTGACATATTTAGCATTTCTGTATTATTATTTTCTTATTTGTATTGTACTCTCTGAACATTTTCATCATACCCTCTCTGCAGCTAGGAATAATGTCTAGCACTGATCAGCACTTGTTATCATTTGGCATCTTTCACAGCAGAACTAGGTTAAAAATGTCCAGTTGCCTAAAAGTTTAGTCTCCAGAAATTGCAACATTCACTACTGGTGAACCGCCCGCAAACACAGAAACATGCAGCGCCACGGCTAAACTTCACCTCACAGTCACTGAACTATCAAAAACACACTTCTCAGAATCCCACCAACACAGAGAAAGAGAGGAATTAAAGGGCAGACTAACTGAATGCAGTTTCTGTGAATGACAGATTAAAAGAGACTGCTGTTATTCTCAGAATCGTCAGCGATAGTCAAGTAAGAAAAACTGAAGGATTTGATTCTCACAGATGGACATCTCTGGTTTCCATACCTGTAAATGGAGGCTGCGTATGATCTGGCCCAGACTGTGGAGGTTACTGATGTTGTTTTCTAGTGTGTTTAATAGTGAAGAGTTGCTGACTGTTTTCCTGGCCGTATTAAGTGCCTGAAGTAGCACAGACAGTCCTGTCTGGACCTCCACGGCCTGCATCTGAACCTGGACATGCAGATTCATTGGAAAATAATTGTCTAATAAATAAACTTCTATTGGATAAAAAAGAGGTACTAATAGGATGTGGGAGAAGTTTAAATATATGATGAATGGTAAAGTAAAATAGTAAACTGATCATCTAACATAATTACAAAAAAAAACTTTCTAAAACACTTTATATCAATAATTATTATAAAATAAAAGTAATTCTTGTGATTATAATTTAGATTTGTACTGCTCTGTTACTATAATATAATATAATATAATATAATATAATATAATATAATATAATATAATATAATATAATATAATATAATATAATATAATATAATATAATATAATAGTATAGTATAGTATAGTACATTGTGACTCACATCTATATGTTCCCAAACAGCAAAGTCAACTCTTGTCAGAGGAACAAAGTAGGATTTCATCACTCCACAGCCTCCTCTGCAGCCTCGCTGAGAGAGAGAAAAACAGATGATATGTTTCTGAAAATAATATGACATTTGGTGTGAAGTGTGTTCGGGCCTCACCATGATGACTTCTGAATCTCCAGCTTCTCGAACGAAGTGGTCCAGAACCCTCAGGTCACAGATGGGGCGCAGCGGAGAGACCAAACAAACGAACACCATCAAAACCAACACCAGACCTGAACAGGATAAACAAAACACTCTGACTTTACAAAGCTTCACGTAAAGCCACATATACCTGGGGTTCGCAACTATGCCTGTTTCTTTTTACGATTATTTTTTAAGGGGTTTTACCTTTAATGGGACAGGACAGTTAAGACAGGCTATTGGCGCTAAAGAGCTATTTTAGTCTTGAATTAATAACAACTTACAAATACAGTTGTAGTCAGAATTATTAGCCCCTCTTTTTTTAAATATTTACCAAATGATGTTTAACAGAGCAAGGATATCTTCACAGTATGTCTGATAATGTTTTTTTCTTCTGCAGAAAGTCTTATTTGTTTTATTTTGACTAGAATAAAAGCAGTTTTACCATTTTTAAACACCTTTTTAAGGACAAAATTATTAGCCCCTTTAAGCTTAATTTTTATTTTTTTATTTTGATAACGATGATAAGCTCTGGATATTTTTACTCAATATTAATCTAAGAGCCAATCACACAGCAGCAATGTGTGACAACAACCAATCAGCATTTCAAAAGACCCTTTCCGAATGCACTTTGCTAACAAACTCAACAAGACGACAAAAATTAGGAAATAATAAGCGGAAGTAAAGGTGAAAGTAAACTAACCTTGAGTTATTATCCATAGATGATGAAATTATCGACAAAATAGCAGCATGAATTCAATTAGTGTTAGTAGTTTGGCTATCAGAAGTGTGACAAGAAGCAGATTAAAACGATATGTAAAGTATGTCGTATAAAAACCAAATCTGGCAACACAACCAACATATTCAATCATCTAAAAAGTATCCGCCAAAAAAAGTTTTTCAACTTGTGTGGACTTGCTGGAAGTTGTGCCATATGTTTTTACTGTTTTTGTTTTTTTTTCATTTAATTTACCTGGTAATGCCAGATTAGTCTTTTTAAATGTATTTTTAACGTATTTGTTTTAATTTAAAGTCAAATGTGTCATCTGTTTTTGTTAATAAACAATATTTTGAATTGTAATTTAATATTTTTTGTTGCATCAGTCATAATAAGTTTTAATGCTGGAAGCATTAACAAATTACTGTATATCGACATTTATTGTTATTATTCAATATGAAACAAAATAATCAGGTTAGTATTATTGCCATATCGCCCAGCCCTATTCTGAAGAATGTTGGAAATCGCAAACCATTTACTTCCAGAGTAAAACATCTATCTATATACAGTGCTCAGCATAATTGAGTACAGCCCATTTTGAAAATGAATATTTGTATCCATTTCTCAGTGAATATGGGCAATGTATTTTGGTGCATTTCAACAAAACAGATTTATTAAACAGATATATTTATTAAAATAATACTTTAGTCGCCAAACATATTTAGAAATTGAAAGATGATACAATTAAATTCAAGCCAAATATTGCAAAAACAAATGTCAACCTACAAAACTTCAAAAAAAATTTCCTTTTTTTTTTTTTTTTTTTGCTTCTCTTGATTTTTCCACCTTTTAAAATGTGGATTTAATATTTTTCTACAACATACACATTTGGTAGTACTCATTTTTGGACCGTTATCATAAATTGTTTTGTTAGATAAGCTCGAGATTTAGCTTCAGTACTGACTAATTTAATGTATATGCACAAATATAATATTGTATAGCTTCCCATGAAAAAAAAAATATTTAAAAGATTTGGAAGAGGTGTACTTATAAATGGTGAGCACTGTATATAGTTAATGGTGAGTGGATTTTAACATTTTTCTGCATTCAACAGAAGAAAGTTAAGCTTGAGTACATGGTGGCAGATTTATAATTGAACTCTCGTTTTTATTAGGTACTGATAATCATATATCAATACCACAGAAGCTTCAATAATACAGCAAAGAGATTGGCAGCGGTGGGATTCGAACCCACGCCTCCAGAGAGACTGGAGCCTAAATCCAGCGCCTTAGACCGCTCGGCCACGCTACCCACGGAAGTCAAATCAGATTCAGAGACAGACTCATAGGTGGCCCAAACAAAAAGATAATGGTATAATATAAAATGTCTTGGAATTCATTGGTGCGTTGCATTAGCCTACGACCACAACTTTCGCCGACTACCCTCCGTGTCTTGAACTCCTGGATAAAAGCTTCTCCGTGTAGTTCCCTGTTTCTTCATTCAGTGTCATGACTTTCAGCGTTGTAACTGTCATTGCAGCTGAAAATAGCATGGCGCAGCAGCTCCTATTTTAAAGCGTTTTGAAACATTTAAACTACATGGAAAAGCGGTTCCGCATTTAGTGTCGAGAAGTTTTGATTCAGGCCAGTGACTCGAATCTTTACAATCAGCAGAAAACACTGAATCGTTTCCTGCGGCTGCGGGCTGTATTATTTCATTTGGGGTGGCAAATTGTGTTTTATTCATGTAGGTAAGTCGCTGAGTTCAACCCTTCAAGAAAAACCATTCACACATGTTAATTCTTAGACCGCGAAGCACGTGCTTTAAACGAACCGATTCAGATTCAGAGACTCACTCAAGTGAACAATTCAAGTCAATTTTCACAAAAATCGTGTGCACGTCACGGGCTTTAAAACTCTACTGTACGCAATAAAAGAAGTCATTGCAGCAATGCATGAATCAGATGTTTGAGGTAAGCTACTCTCTATCACAAATGTTGCGATTAACCATGTTTTACCGTGTACATTAACCGTGGTTTTTTTACAAACAAACAAGAAAGTTCAAAAGTAGGCTAATGTGGTATTGTAATTATAACTCGGTTACTTAACTATAATTAAAACATTAATTTTCGTAAAATGCCTTATCATAAGTGAACTGTAGAACTAATCATGATTTGCAAGCAACATCCGTAATAAAAAAATATAAGACTGTAGCCAAACGTTGTAATGCATTTATTGTATTTATTAACTAAATAGGGGATTGATAGGCATAGGGTCACTGTAGGGTGCAAAAATACAAACGTATCATAGTAGCCTACATAAACTAAATCACAGATGTTTTCTGTTCTTGTTGTATTGCTCCAATGTAATGGCTTACCTGAAAACGTTTGCATCCGCAATGTGCATTTTGAAGTTGCATAATGTTTTTTTTTTTTTTTGTAATTGTATGTTCCTGTTAGCACACTACTGTTACTCCATACCGAACACGTTTCTGCTGTAGGGTACACATAGTTTAGTGCACTCAATCTGACTTTTACATGACCCTGTTCCTCCTGCGTCCTTGGTAACTTAGTAGCCTATTCAGGCGCTGTTCTGTCTGCTCTGTTTGTGGCGGTCACTTTGTTGTTGCTCAACATTAGCCTACTTGCAGAGTTCAGTGTGACGACATGCTCTCACGATTGACTCTTTAACTACAAACTTTATAACTGAGATAGATAGATAGATAGATAGATAGATAGATAGATAGATAGATAGATAGATAGATAGATAGATAGATAGATAGATAGATAGATAGATAGATAGATAGATAGGCTTTTTTCTGACGTATACTATCATTTTCTTATATTTTCATTTCTAACTTAAAGAATCAGGTCTTCGTTTTTTATTTGTTTGACAACACTACCATCTAGTGGTCATATGTTGAACTACAGCTAGCAGTTTAAATACTGTATCATTACAGCTTTTTAAAAAAATAATAAAAATAGGTTACCTTTCTCAAGCATGGATATTAGACCATGTGCCGGTGCCCTTCTCAGCTTTAGTGCTTTTTAAACACAGATCCACTCTTAGAATTAAAGGTTCATTATTGCTGTTGATTGTTCCATGTAGAACCTTTGGAATCTTTTCATTTTCCTTTAGCTTAGTCCCTTTATTAATCTAGGGTCGCCACAGCAGAATAAACCACCAACTTATCCAGTGTATGTTTTATACAGCGGATACCCTTCCAGCCGCAATTCAGTACTGGGAAACACACATACACACTCATTTACACACATACAGTACTGCCAATTTAGTTTATTCAATTCACCTATACCGCATGTCTTTTGGGGAAACCGGAGCACCCGAAGGAAACATACGTGAACATGGGGAAAACATGAAAACTCCACAAAGAAATGACAACTCACCCAGCCAGGACTTGAACCAGCAACCATCTTGCTGTGAGGCAATAGTGCTAATCACTGAGCCACCATGTCATCCTTGAAACCTTTTCAGTCAAGCAAAATATGATTCTTTAATTTAGATAATTTAATGTTCTTCGCTCTAAGGGAAAGTCTGTAAAGAAATGTTCTTTGCAACACCCGGAACGATTCTTTTATTTTGTCAATGCAAAAAAAAAGTTTTTGAAGCTTTTTATGTAATTAATTGTTGCATTCATTTTAGACTCTGTTAAAGAATCAGTGTCATTGTGCTTTGCTGGGACGCTACATTTACATTTTAAAAGTCTTCTAGAACAGGAAAAGACTCCATAGTACTTTGCAGAAAAACAAGAAACATTCATTCACTGGCACTATGAATTGAGTTCAAAATAACAGCTGCCAGTATTGATATTTACCAGACACAGGAACACAGTAGTTTCAGAACATCTTTTAGAGAGAGAGAGAGAGAGAGAGAGAGAGTCAAGGCTTATTCAGCCTTATGCGCCTCATGGCATTTGTATATCCTTCCTAATTTGTATCTCTCTGAGATTAGATTATGCCCTTAAGTAGTATGAAAAGAATATCCCACAAGCCACTAAATTCACACATATGGTGTTAGATTTCATTGATCAGCTTTTGAACACTCGTCCTTTGTGACCTCAGAATTACTGTGCACTAAACTGTATTCCCTTACAGTGCTACAAATGTTTTCACAGAAGCCCATTTTACCTCAAAATATAAAAACAACAAATAATTGCATCTTTTTGCTCATTCAACACTTTTCTCACAATTCTTAAAGGTAAAAAATCTAAATTTGAACAATTCTGATCATTATCCCTTCAAAATTGTGCATGGCAATTTTGTTATTTTCCCTTTCATTTAATTTTGGATTACACAACTCCATTGAAGCTTGTTTCCGCCCTGATAAAAAGTATCTGCAATTTTGTTTTTCCAAATTATAAATGAGATTTATTGGCTATTAGTTCTGGAAATGTTCCTATGCTTCAGATTTTATATAAACTTGCAGTTGCACATTTATATCTTACAAATAACTGTGAGACTTTTTGGTCACATTTCTGAGTTTATATTTCACAGTTAAAAATTTGCAATTGCCTTTTTCATTTTATTATTCATGCTTTCAAACATTTCTGATTGTATTAACTGTAAGATATAATCTTGAAATCGCAAGATATAAACTTGTAATTGTACAAAATGTATAAACTGCCAATTGGGAGAAAAATAATCAGAATAGTGAACATCAATGATAGAGAAACATGAGCACTTTCACTAAGTGTTTTTAAAGAATTCACAAGACGTTTTCTCCATTCATAACTCTATTTATCATCCATTTAATAATGTTTCATTGATGTGATGCACTGACTGTTACTGAAAATAACCCTTTAATCATGGAAAAACTGCATATGTATGGCTAATAATGAAACAAGACTATTGTTCTTAGGTTTTTATTGATTTCTATTAGTGTGACATTTTTCATCTTTATTTATACACACCATCTTTATACTACAAAAACCAAGAAATACAACCTAGAACATCAGGTGGTGTCAGTAGCATGTGTATGCAAAGTAAGTTTGTCATGATCATGCTTTGCATTTGTAGGAGGATTAACGTAATAGTATATAAGATAAAAGCAATAAAGGCAGAAAGCTGAAATAAAAGGTTATGAGGTCATTTCATTATTGTTTTTCTCCTTAAAGACAATTACAAAGTATTCTTAAAATATCACAGATGAATCATAATTATTTTATAGGCCAAAAACATACAGTTCTATTCAAAAGTTTGTGGCTGGTTATTTATAAATTTTGTTTACAATTATTTGGTCTCTTATGGGTGGTTCATTCTGCTGTGGCGACCCCTGATAAATAAGATATTTAGCCGAAGGAAGTCCAAATACATAAAATGTGTAGTAATATATCTTCCAGATATAAATGATTTCTTATGATGATGCTTTTTGGGATTCTATAATGAATAGACAGTTTAATATTTAAAGCATTTATTTAAAGATATAATTCAAATGTGAGCAATTTATTTAGTTTATTTAATATATTAGTTTATTTTAAGGTCCAATTTATACTATTAACAAACCATTAAACAAAGAATTTTAGATCAATAAACTAATAATTAGCAACTTATTAATCATTTGTAAAGTAGTTGGGCTTAGGCGATAGGGATAAAGAATGAGAGCATACTTTATAAAGCAGCCAATATCTCAATAATAAGCAGATTATAGGTCAGTAGTTAATAGTGGGAATTGTTAACCACCTTAACAACTAAAGTGTTAACAAAAATGTTACTGTTGGCCAATTTATTGCACAGCTTCTGACCAAAAAGTCTGTGTTTAAAAGGAAATGCCTAGAAAAGCTACTGGAAAGAAGAAAGTATGAAAAAAACGAACCCACAACCAAAGCTATAGAAGTGCAGGCAGGTCAGATCATACGCTGTGAAGAAGGTAAGGAGGAAGAGGTGAAGGTGAGTTACAGTTATCATAGAAGAGCTGGAAGTTCATGTCTACATTCATTCTCTGTGTCAGAATGAGCTCGAGCTCCAACACCGTTAACTCTTGAACCGTGTTTCCCTCTTTTGCGTTCTTGGCAATGGCCGCGTAGGTCGGGAAGTGGATGCGCTCGACGTGCGGGGAGTTTCGGTCGTAGTCGGTGCAGCAGTAAGCAGACCACACGTCTTCGGGGATGCCCACACGATTTAGGTTGTTACGTCGGATCATGTTTCCAGCGTGGATAACGCCAGTCACGATGTAAGCTGTGCCCCTGCAGAAGTTGTTGAGGCGCACGCGGATACGCTCTTCATACTGGCGCCAGGGCCCGATATTGAACTCGCGGATTTCTGGCACGACGTTGGTGAGCGTGTATGTGGCCGCTCGGTCTTGAGGGTCAGACTGGTGCTGGTCTGGATTTAGGTGCCCTCTCTCGTACAGAACCACGTCTGAATAGTCATCCAAAACCGCCTGGCTGTCCTCAAACTTCATGTGTAAGTATCCAGTAGGGAATGGCATCATGTTCCCATTCCCATCAATCTCTGCAAGCTGGAAAGAAGATACCACAATAGAATGCAATAGAATATTAGCCTATGCACAATACATTTTTATATCCAGTAATCTCAAATGACTTTTGTATATAATTCAGTTTACTCGAAATGCCTATAGGCTACTCAAACTGCACAATTTGTAAGATGTTGTTACATTACCTATACAAAAAAATAATAAAACACTAGAACAGAATTATATATTTTGTGGACTTATGCACCTACATTGTTTCAAATGTTTCAAATATGTTCAAATCCAAAGAAATAAGCCGTTTTAACATTGTGACATGGACAGTGGCCTGATGTCATACACTCTCGACTTCCAGTTCGGTTTTATAAAACACCAAAAGTGCTTTAAAATTTTGTTTTATTAGACTGTACAGAACAGCATTTTAACAGAACCATATAATGGATTTAGTATGATAACACAGTGCTGCTTCTTCCTCACATAATTATGACCGGAAGAGCCAGAACAGAGGGACTGTGGCATATTAAAAGCTGTGCTGCTTTCGTGCCGTGACATGCTTGTCACTTACAGTATCAGAAATTGTTTCAGCACTGTTGTTTCGCTGTGATGGCTTTCAGCATTACTCTGCTTTGTACTAGCATGATAATAATAATCCATAAACATGAGTTCTACGGTCCTGTAGGAAATAATGAAGGTGACATCAATATACATCTTTGTTGTAAATACGCGCAATCTAAATGACATACTGTGCTTTTAAAAGGAAGTTGACCCAAAAATCTAAATATACTCAGTATTTACTCACCCTCAGTGGTCCCACACCTTCATGAACACTAAAGAAGAAATCTGAAAACCAGTAACTAACATCCATAGCAGAAAAAATGGAAGTCAATGGTTAAAGGTTTACAGTTTTCTTCATAATTTCTTCTTTTGTCTTCAGCAATTGGAGAGAGAGTAAATGATGACAAAATGTTCAGTTTTAGGGGAACTTTTCCAGTAACACTTTCTCTGACAAGTGCATGCTATGTCTTTCTACATGTGATGTGCTTACAGCATCTTTATACAATAAAAGCAAACAGTTTATATGAAAAGTTTATATGCAAAAACCTCTAAATGCTGCTTTTTTTACCCTTATATGTATATGTTCAGTTATTTTACTTTAAAGACAATGAAAATAACTTATTTATCACAATAAAAGTAAACTTACTGAGCATAAACACAGGAGTTTGAGAAAAATGCTAATTTTAGAAGAAAACATCAAATTTAGGTTTTTGCATCTAAACACATCTTCATATGAAAAAAAACATCTTGTCATTAATTTCAATAATGATAATTCAATAATTAGCTGAGTGTGTTTATGTGCCAGCTCTTTGCTGATTTAGGCCTGTCATCAATAAATAAATAGCAATAAAACTTAATACCGCCAGTGGATGGTGACGAGTCCCTGTAGTAGTGATTGATTTATTGATTAATTGATTAAATCATTCATTAAAATCATTAATTAAACATTACAGATTCATTGAGAGGCAAAGCCAGCACCTGTCTTGAATGAATCATTGGCTTGTTTAATGCAGTTAAAAACAGACCCTTTCAGGGTTGCATTTTTTAAAAGCATTGTTTTTCAATTGTAAGTAATAGATTTTGTTATTACCAACAAAGTTAAACGTTTTAATTCAATTTATCTTTATTTCTATAGCACTTTTACAATGTAGATTGTGTCAAAGCAGCTTAACATAGAAGTTCTATTAGATTCAGTGTTTTCTAAGTCCATAGTTCCAACAAGAAGCATCAAAAATCTGTGTGGACGAAACTACAGCTCTCACTTTGTGACATTTATTGCATATGTTTATTTATATGCAATGTCCCTGTTGTTTATTACTCAACAGGGTATATTGATAACTTGAATTAAAAAGACATTTTTAAATGTTTTGTGAATGACATGCTTAGCAATGTTGTCTTCCATATTGTAAAACAATAATTACAATATTATCATTGCACAAGAGCTACTGAAGTGTGGTTACTGCTTAAAAAGTAATCGAAAAGTAAAACCTAAACGGCATAATAGGTTACATTTGTATGTCAAATTGTATTCAGTAAGTCAGTTCAATTAGTAAGTTGTCTATAACAATAGAAAGTGAATCTCAATGTTTTTGTTTTACTGAGAGTAATTATTATCATACCTGAGGTTCGTACATCCAGGGATAGTCCACACGCCGATCACCCTCTGTTTTCTTGAAGCTGTATGCAGAGTAAACTGGAATGCGGATTTTGGGATCATACAGGGTCACAAATCTGGGTTTGTCAGCGTAGCGTTGGCAGATCTTCTTGAGGCTGGGGTCTTTAAAGCCGCGTGGTGGGGTGCCCATATACAGCGAGTCCTTGCATCTCTCAATATGGTTGAAATCTTCAACCACGATTGCAGTTCCCCAGTGTTCGGAGAACCACATTGTGACGGCAAGGGCCAGGAGGAGGTTGGAGAGCTGCATTTTAGGCAATGGAGCTTCTCGAAAGTCTGGCTCGAGAGTTTCTTTGATAGAATGAGTGAGTGGGTGAAAGTCGAAGCTGGTTCCTTTGAATAACATCTATTAGATAAGCAAAACAGAACTGGCCATGCTTTGCCTAAAACTGCTCCATGCTTGACTTCAAGGTGTAGCTTCATGCTGGATCTAGGGTTTTGTGTGGCTGAACTAAAATAATAAAACATTGTTCTTGGCTTGAACTTGACTTTTATGGGGAGTTAGCACAAATACCAAAATAATTTTTAAAGTGTTTTTTAATGTGTATTTTTCACATACATGAAAAAGACTTATTGTCACATCAGGTTCTGAGCACTTGACACTCTTTTAACTTAATGCAAAATGCAAGAGCTCTGACCTCAAGCAATTCTAAATGAGTTGGATGTTGATTGTTGCTCTTTTATATAAATGTAACATTTTGTAAATTCGTCCACTGCACTGTTGGTATTGTGGACATTTTGATGGTCAGTATGACATTTTTGTTGGAAATAAAGGGATATTTTTATTCTGAAAGGATGCATTAAATTAAGAATCTCAAAATGTGTTGTTGTAAAAATAACTGCAGGTATTGCCAAAAGCTCACCCACTGTAACCATTTGACATAAACACAAAATGCATTGTGCATCTAAAATGTAGTTTATACTAGATATATGAGATAATTAACTTTTTGTACAATGAAAAGCTTCTGTACAGTGTTAACAATTTTTGTAAATTACACAGTATTTAACTGTAATATGAACTGTATTTTACTGTGATACTTATGCAGTATGCTACTGTATTTTGAATATGCATTGTGAAAATGACTATATTTACAGTAGAGATTTACAATACTGGAAATACATATACACCAAGATAAATTATGCTGTAAATGTAAATATCGTATTTTTTGCTGTAATTGATTTACTGTAAGTTACTGAAAAACTGCTGCCAGTTATTTACAGTAGTTTCTACAGGAAATGTTCAGTGTATGGATGTTAAACGTTCTTCATGGAACTGTCAATGCCAAGGTTATGCTAATAAAAACTATATATGTATATAACTAGAGTTTGCTTGTTTTGACACATTATTTAAAATATGTCTAAGAAATAAGTGAATTTTAATTTTTATCAGTCTAGTTAAAAAAAAAATCCACTGGTTATTACAGAACGAAATTAGTGTTTTACCCTGTGAAAGTCTGAAATTTCATTCATGATGGTCTCAAAAGGTCTTACAAAGTTTTACATTTGACATGATAAAACCTGCAGAAACCCTGTTTTTACCCAGACATGGAAAAATAAATAAATTAGAGCAGTAATCACTATACTCTGAAACCATGATATTTTTATTCAAGGTTATCATACCGTCAGAATTTAAACTTAAACATGGAGCCTATTTGAACTTGGAGTTTTAAACCCAGTAATTTTTGACATCCACTATCTCTAACATTACTCTGACTTTCTCATAATGTGCTTTTCTTTTTTTTGCTGATTCTGTTTGTTTTCATTGAATCACACTCCAGAATTTAGGGTTGAGGCTTCTTTTAGACTGTGCCATCATGTTTTTTTGAAACCAGTGTCAATAAATTCATCCCAGCCATGCCTTTAAATAGAGAAAAAAAACTGTATTGCACTTAATTGTTTTCAACATTGAAAATAATTAAAACTGTTTCATAAAATCTAAATCATATGAACAACACAGGATTAAACTACAAGATAAATTATGCAGTAAATGTAAATACAGTATATGTGTGTAATTGATTTACAGTTACTGACGAACTGCTGCCAGTAAGTTACTTTAGATTCTACAGGAAATTATTATCAGTGTATGGATGTTAAATGTTCCTCATGGAACCGTCAATGCCAATAAGGAACTTTTATGTTTAAGAGGGAAGGTTACACTGTAAAAAAAAGTCAGTAAAATTTAAAGGCATGGTACAAACCATAAAGGTAATTTCTCATTTTTGCAGTAAACTACCGTATTTCATTAATTTATAGATGTAATATGTCTCTATTTTGAATTACCAACACCTACACATCTTTTGTTACACAGATAGACACATTAACACAGCCATATACATGTGGTGATGAGTAAGTTACATAATGAACCAATGCTCATCATAAACTACTTTTCCCACAAGCAAAAAAGTGTATCAGTGTCATTCACACAGCTACTAAACACCAGTATGCTAACATGCATAAAATTAAAATCATGAAATGAACATTGTTTATCAACATTACATGTCAACTAAATCTCTAATGTACATAACTGATGGAAAAACAGCTAAAAAGATCCATATTGATGTCAACAAAAAGCATAAAAAGTGATATGCCATGCAAGGATTTCTGGGAAAGTCAGTTTACGGTTATTCGCCGTATATATTAGGCACAAAAACTGTTAACAAGGTTATGGATTTTTACAGTTTTTTTTACCGTTGAAATCACGGCTATTTTCTGATTCATTAAATTCTGATACAATTTGCTTAATTGGCCAAGAAACTATTAGTTTTTGGGTAAATTTCACGCTGTTTAAAACATGGAGCTTGTTAGGCATGGAGTCTTAAATCCAGTTCTTTTTTTGACATCTGCTATCTCTAACATTGCTCTGACTCTCTCATATTGTGGTTTTCTTTTTTCTGCTTCTGTTTTTATTGAATGACACTCCAGAATTTAGGGTTGAGGCTTCTTTTAGATCGCCGTCACGTTTTCCTGACACCAGTATGTCACATATCAATACATTCATCCCAGCCATGCCTTTAAATAGAGAAAAAAAACTGTATTGCACTTAATTGTATCTGTTTTTGTTTATTATTAAAATTATATTGTAAAATCAAAATCGTACAAAAAACATGAATAAACTTTAAAAGAGTAAGAGAAGTTTCACAAACTACTTTCGAGAGGAGCAGATGATATGATTAATTGCTGCTGTTCTCTCATCAGTAATCATTAGCAAGCCAAACGGATCATTCCAAACTTATGATAAACAGCCCGACTATCATGACTCCCTTCGTCTTTTGAAAAATCCCCCATCCACCCCATCTCCCCCTTTTCCACCTTAACCAGGGGGAGCTCTCGAGAACTACCTGATCTCGTACCCCCCCATTGACCAGACGGGAGCCCTGGGCTCAATTATCTCCAAGCTCAGGGTTCTCTCCCGCCAAACCTGCTATTATTATGAAGCAATATCTAAGTGTGTACTGTTGAAACGACTTTATTTTAAAATATAGTAAAATTAGAATCCGATATTTTGAGAAGGGATGATATTAAAATAACTGACCCCATCTTGACCCAGCAGCTTTCTTGTTCATCTGTAATCAATAGGAATAGATATGACAGTTTAAAGAGCAAGTATAAAAGGCAAATAATATGTATGAAACCTTATCACACATTCCCTTTCTCTGTTTCTCCACGTACGCTCTTCATTCCCTTTTTGGAGAGCTAATCAGCTTTATGGTGACTTGCATTACCGTCTTATAATATGCAAATCAAGCCACGCTAAGTTCCTCATCATGACAGAGCAAATAGTTCTCAATGGAGTGAAAAGGTGATGGAGGAAAAAAGAACCGAGATAAGCCTGCTGTATAGTGTCCTGTGTGAACAAGGGATTATAAAGGATCAAGCCTTCATTTAATGCCACTTTTAGTTATTTATCTGATATTACACAAGCTGTCTCATTCCTACCATTGTGCGTTTTATATGCCAACACAAAAGCAACTTTCACTTTGAAAAAAATCTGCAGATTATTAAATCGATCAAGCAAGATGAGCTTTATTTGTTGATTTTGAAACTATTTATCCAGAACACCTAGACTATTAGGTTGAAGAGTCTTGTTTTATATTGGTTATTGACAGACAGCAGGCACAAGGAGAAGATGAAGTGGCCATTTTTTTATTTGAGATGAGTTACAGTATTCAGACAAATTGCTGTAAACATGTTTACCAAATGAGAAAAGATCAGTTGTTGCAGTTTCATAAACAAGTTAATGGACCTAATAAAGCCCCCAAGGCCACCGATAATTATGGCCATTAAATCGATCTTATTTCATCACTATTTTCTGGGCTCTCTGTCCAATTTTGACAAAATAAAGGTGAAAATAGATCTTCATTTAACAGTTGAGGTTAAGAAATGTATACAGATTTTTCTCTTTAGATGAAACAAACAAAATGAAAGATAAATAATGTTAAAGCCAATGACTTTTACTGTTTTATTTGACTTTGAGTTCTTTGATATACTGGTTTCTGGGTTCTTTTAAGCACATACACTACTGTTCAAAAGTTTGGGTTAAGTTAGAAATACAGTATTCATTTATTTATCCTTTTCATCAAGGATGCAGTGCAGCAAAGTTATTTTCAAGAATTTTTCAAAGGATTTTTATTTACATTTTATTTTATAGGTTCATTTCAATGCCATTTGCAATGTTATTATTTTAGAATACCTTTTTTAAATTAACTAGTGGGAATTCTTCTCAATTTTAATTCAAGACTAAAATAACGTAAAATACAGTAGGTTTTCAAATAAATTTTTTTATCTAAGAACCCTAAAATGTGTTCAAAGGGTATTAAAATAAAATATAATCAAATAAAATCCCTGGTGAAAATAAAATACTCAAAAAGCTTTCAAATCAAATACAATTCCTGTTGAAAATAATAGACAAATATATATTGCTGACCCCAAACTTTTAAACGGTAGCTGCACAGATGGTCTTTTTCTTTCACTAGATTCTAATTCCTTTTTGGTTCTAATTGGAAGTTTTAACTTAAAAGTGAATGGCAAAGTATTCAGTGTACAGAACACTTACATTTATATTCAACCAGATAGACAAATCAGCTAAAGCCCAAAGTATACCAAAGTTTTCACATGTAGACAACAGTATGCACAGACTATAGACATGCAGTGGTTTACATTCATGGCCATGCAGCTTTAAATTGATTTTACAATGAAATTGTAACACCAAAATTGGTCCACAATGTGTCAAAACTGAACCAGGCTGTTGTTAAGCAGTCGTAAACAAACTGAGGAAATAAAAAGAAAAACTGCATCATACTACTGAAGATGACAAAAGTATGCCTTTACAATTACAAGACATCTGCAAAATACAAAGACATTTCTGTTGCTCATAACTTTCGAAATGAAAAAGTGCAAACATTGTACAAGTATAAATCATTCTAGTGTGTGTGTGTGTGTCTAACCAAAACAATCTCACGGCAATTCGTAACTTTATTAATTTAGTGGCTAACTTATTTAAATTTGTCGATCTCATTTAGTAAGATTTGCTCATCCCCCAGTGATGGTTGGGTTTAGAGATGGGGTTGGGTGCCATGCTTCCTTTTTAAAATCTTACATTTTCATATGACTGAACTTGTAGGACGTTGTATGAATTAGCCACTAAACTGACAAAATTTAAAATAGTTACGTTTCCTCGTGAGATCAGACTGGTCTAACATGTACATCAAAATCCAAAGTACACTTTGAGCTTTAGCGTGGCCTGTCACTATTCCTTAGGGTCACAGTTCTCATAAAAAAGCTGAAACTTCTTGTCCACAAAGGTGTTCCTCTTCAAGAAATCTTCCAGCTGCTGCACGGACATCTCTATGACCTCCGGTGCTTCTTTCTCATTGAGGCCATGGGATGCGTAGGCTGGGAATTTTGATCGCTCGTCAAATGGGGCATTATGATCATAGTCGACACAGCAGTACGCTGACCACAGGTAAGTAGGAACGGCCACTCGGTTGATGTTGTACCTACGGATCATCCTGCCGGACGTGGTGACCCCTGTGACTATGTAGGCTGTACCGCGGCAGTAGTTGTTGAGTCGCCGGCGGATGATGTGCTCATGTCGTTTCCAGTGGCCGATGTTGAACTCACGAACCTGTGGGACTACATTGGTGAGAGTGTATGTGGCCGCCTTGTCATCGGGATGAGCCTGGTGCTCGTCGGGGTTCAGATGACCTCGCTCGAATTCGACAATATTTGAATAGTCCTCCAAAACAGCCTGGGTGTCTGAAAAACTGCCGTGGACATTTGGAGGGAAAGCCTGCATTTCACCAGAGTCCGATGTTGTAGAGAGCTGAAGTAATGAAGAAAAACATTATTGTTAAAACGTATGCCTAAAACAAATAACAATGTTTTATTTTAAATTATCATATACATAGTATATAAAATGGTATCTAAATATTATGTAAGTATATTCACACCAAACACGGATGTAAATATTCGCATGAATAGATTGCATACAAAGCCAATGGTGCAAATGGTGCTAAAGGCTAATGTATACTACTGCGTCAAGCGGTTGGAACGTTCGCATAGCTCTCGCCATGGCCGATGCTGATGCTCACCTCTCAAAAAATGTAGCACTTCGCAACGACGTATAGTACAAGCTCTGTGATTGGTTGGCTTGGTATCGCTTACGAGCATGGGCGCTGCTGAGAGCTGAGGCCGATGGAGCGTTTGTTTACAAGTGTCGAGTCTCGTGAAAAAGATCGAGATGGAAACTTTTGTTTCGTGTTCACTTTATAATTAAAGTTGTTGCATGTCTGCTGGTTCCCGTCTAAATAGTTTTAGCTTTTAGTAGTATTCAGAAAAAACAAAACACCTATGAAGAGACTCGAAAAAGAGGAACATAAAAACCTACTGACAGCTAGCGCTTCAGAAGTGTTATTGCAGAGCAACACAAATAGTGTGCAGTAGTATAAATGCACGACTATGCCTTGGGTCAAGTCGATCACTTCACACAGAAGTATAAATCTGCCTAAACTGCGTGACATGCATGCTGTGATCAAGCAATAATCTCCTCAGGTCTGTTTTCTGTGATAGTTTAAAAAGAAATGACAAGCAGAAAACTTGCATGAGGTGAAAAACCTTGTGAGTAATCTAAAGAAAGTGATGCAATGCATATGTTCACTTGTGCTTTTTGTGTGAATTCAGCATAAAACTGGTTAATATGGTATTAACTGGTTTAAACTAGTCTCAGAGCATAACTAGTATGGGACTAGGATTCAAGTGGATAAGCAGTTTGGTTGTATAGCAAAAAGGGCCCAAATCATATCTAAAACAAGCCAACAGGTTGAGCCTAAGACACCATTTACACTTCGTTTTAAAATGTTTTGTTGCAGTGACACATGGGGTCCTCATTACTCCAGCATCTTTGACCTGTGAAAATGAAGCATTTTGAAAAGACTGAACTTTGTTTTAGTTTGAAAACACCAGTGTTGCATTTCAGTTCAGAGAGACTAAAACACAAACTTGCGTAAATACTACTGCATATCTTTCCTTGATCTGTCAAGGCCCTCTCATATGGCAATACCACCAGTAGACCACAAGTAGCCTACAGATACTAAAAAGATATGCACTTGCCCAGTGAGTGTGAGTGTTGACTTTCATGCATTTTACGCTGCATAATGTGGACGGAGATTGTTAACACAGAACAAACAAGTCCTGTTTTAAACAAGTGAAATTTGGTCGAAGTTGGTTTAAACTGGTTAATACAGTATTGATAAGATGGTGTTCAGCTGTTTTAACTCTTCAGCAGTCAGGAAAGAAAGTCAAGAAAACCAGTCATCAGAACTACCTAGGACATAGGGCAGATAGTTTTAGATACATGGTAATATTAAAAAAAAATGCCTAAAATCAACCGAACAGCTTTGGAAGCTTATTTTAGAGGATTAGCTACTGTGTGCGACAGATAAGTGTTTTGACCAGGGAAGTTGTGAAAAAACAAACAATATTTTATACTGAAGTTATGAAAACTTTTCAAATGTATCTACATTACAAAATTGTTGATTGAATTGTTTAACAGTTTGACAAAGCTTGACAACTCGACTGCTGGTTACCTGCGGCTCGAACATCCAGGGAACATCGACCTTCTTGGAGCCGTCGGAGCGTTTGAAGGTGTAGGCGGAATAAACCGGAATGTGATCCACCACATCATACAGAGTGACATACCGGGGCTTGCCGTTATAACGCTGACAGATCTTTTTAAGGTAGTGGTTCTCCAGACCCCGCGGCGGGGTGCCCATATACATGAATTTACGGCATTCTTCTGAAAAATCTTTCTGCACTTCAGAGCGCACGTTCACGAGCGGAAAGCAGAAAAACACCAACAAAACAGCCCGGGGGTCCATTCGGCTTAAATAAAACACAGCTCCGCTTGAGAAACTCCTCTGAATAACTTTTTATAAGTGTTCCTGTGTGCTCATTTTCCATACTGCAATGATAGTCAAATAACTGCTCGCTGCTCACCTGATACAGCACTCGTGCAGTTGTACAGTTTCACCAGCGCGTGGTGCTGTTTTACAAAGACTGCGGCTGATCATTGCATCTGAAAAAATAGTGCTGGGTGTTTCCCAGTGATGGGTTCCAGCTGGGAGGGCATCTGCTACGTAAACATATGATGGATAAGTTGGCAGTTCATTCTGCTGTGGCGACCCCAGATTAATAAAGGGATTAAGCCGAAAAGAAAATAAATGAACGGAAAAGTGAATCTGTGGAATTTGTATTTGACAAATTTCAAGTTCGTAAAAAAGTATTCATTGGGGTAGATTTTTATGATTGATATTTATATATGGAATGTCTTCAATCTATTTATAGCACAAAATAAAGAATCAAGATACTGCTATTATTGCTAAAAGTTATTAAAATCTGAACTTGATGAAGGATGTATGTCTTATACCGACATTTTTGTTATATCCACATTGTTGCTAAACTGTTTTGTATTAGCTGGCAATATGTGAAATGTATATTGCAAACTTGAATTTGCATTGTATTATAATTCAATGTCTTGTTAGAATTGTACATTTGTTGATGTTGTTTCTAATAAAAACTACGTAAATTAAAAGTCATTAGTTCATTTTTTATTAATATATTTATTAAGGAATTATCTGTTTCTGTACTTATATTAAATAACCACTGTGACAGTGTGTTATAGTAACATTTTGTTATAAGAACATTTTGTCCTGGGTGTCAGTTCAGTAATTTCACTTTAAAGCCAATGAAAAGAACCTGTTGATCAGGATAAAAGTGAAATGACAGAACCTACATGCGGGAGCCTGAGAAAAAGTGTTTAATGTTTAGAATTCAGAGTGCACTAATTCAGAATCTGAACTCCTCATACAAATATAAAATAAGTTATATGTCATTACATTTGATACCTTTGCATAAAAAATCCTATTGTAAGAATAAAAAAAATGTAAACAGCTTGAAATATACAAAAAAATATTTTCATTCATTTTCTTTTTGGCTTAGTCCCTTTATTAATCAGGGATCACCACAGCAGAAGGAACCACCAACTTATCCAGCACATGTTTTACACAGCGAATGCCTTTTCAGCTGCAACCCAGTACTGGAAAACATCCATACACACTCATTCACACACACACATACACTATGGCCAATCTAGTTTATTCAATTAACCTTTAGCGCATGTCTTTGGACTGTGGGGGAAACCGGAGCACCTGAAAGAAACACACGGCAACACAACTGAACTCGTAATATGAATATAAAATAAGTGAAGTTATTTACTTTTGATACATTTGCATAAAAACATATTGTAAAAACTACAAACTAAAAAGAAACAACTTGCAAGTTACAAAAACATAATACTACATAATTTAATATATGTTTTCCAAAATATTACTTCCAAATGCTGGCATGAATGAAATATTACCACTACTATTACTACTACTACTACTAATAATAAAAATAGTAATGGCACCATTTGTGCTATACAAAAACCTAACAAAAACATCTTTTTTTTTTTTGTTTTACCTCAAAGCAGATGTAGTTCCTGTGTTATCCGCCACTAGTGGATGGCGGTAATGCGCTCTTTAGGCTTTCGTTCTTTCGTCAAACAAACAGCAGAAAAAAGAGCTCCACAGTTCATTGGATGTATTCCTCACGTGTCTAACGTCCAACAGCCATTTTTGTAAAACACAAACAACAAGACGACCGAGCGAGACAGAAAAAAACTCATTGCGACCGTTGCAGATACGGCAAAGAATAGAAAATAGATATATGTACAATTGAGCTTCGAAACTCACACGAGACGAGTGTTGAAAACAGAGACTCAGCAGTTCAAACCGTCGGTTCATGCGAAGCGAAAAGAGGAGTGAGCTCTTTAAGGAAGATTCAACTCTGGAGAAAACAGTGGCTGGCTAGTTTTAGCCTAGCTGGCCAGCAGGCTCGCAGAAGAGGTGCGTGATATGTTATTTTCTACATTTTGGTGGACAGCGTGCTGTGTGCATTGGTTGATAATCAGCGTTATAGTTGTATTCACACACTTATGTCGTATGAAGTTATTGCACGGTTTATCAGATGGTTGAAGGGCTTGTATTGCACCACTGAAGGCCTTAGTAAAGCGCAAGGGCGCAGCACAAGCATATCTGAAACGTTACTGCTGTTTTCCTGCTCTTGGTCTCATTAAAACGTCTCAGACTTGTTTTGCTGTTCATAATTAGATTACCGTGTAACCTTTATTAGCCTGTCAGTCACAGGCGTGTTGCGTGTTTGTGTTGCATAATAGCGGCGAGTGTTGCTCACGTTGAGCTGAGCTGCTGCTGCTGCTGCTTGTGGAGTTGTGATTGTAGTTGGGGAAAGTTTTCGCTGAATGTTATCTCCAACGTGTTTCGTTATCTTGACTGTTGTTTTGGCGATTAGGATATGTTGCTTAACGAATACATGCTCGCTGATTAAATTTGCTCATCTGGTTTTGAAGGATGTTAGTTGTTTTTATGGAGCTATCAGACCTTTTTGTATTAACGCGTATTGTTTCAGTTCAGTGGTCAGTCGCAAGTAAATGCACTTAACGATGATCTTCACACACACACACACACACACACACACAAACACACACACACACACACACACAATGGAGCTGAAAGTGTTGTATGTTACCATATTTTTTGTTTACCCTTTACATGTTTCAAAGATTTGAGGTTTTTTTTATTAAACGCAAAATAAGATATTTTGTGGAAAGCTGAAAACCCTGTAAACAATGACTTGCACAGTAACGTTATTAGTTTTTTAACTATGGAAATTAGTAGTTACAGGTTTTTGTTTTTTCTTTCAAAATATCTTTTGTGCAAAACAGAAGGAAAATAACTCAAAGATTTGAATACATGTGAGAGTGAGTAAAAAAGCTAGTAATTTGTTTTTTGGGGTTAACTATCCCTTTAAGGAGGAAAACATTGTTTATTTACCATTCATGCTAGCTATAAACATCAGTGATCATTTTTAAAAATGTTAAATAGTTTTGTTAAAAGTAAAATGAAAAGGTGTTTGTTTGCTTGTCAGTAAGGTATTCAATTGTTACTTTGTTTGGAACTTAGATGTCTTTTAGTGAGATAAGAAATGTGTGCTCAGTTAGCAGAGGAAAAACCTGAGGTTAAATGGATTAGGTAGTTAAAATACAGTTTTTTAAAATTGTTTTATTTGTATTGTTTAGTTAACCAGAATTATTATGATTTTGTTTTTTGTTATTCATTTATAGGCATGGGTCGGTTTAAGTTTCTAATGGTATGATAACCTTAGATAAAAAGATCACGATTTCACTGTACTTCGATTACTACTGTATATGCTCTTTCTAATGTCTGGCTAAAAAACAAAAACCCTTTTCCCCTTTGAACACAGTATTTTTTTATTTTGAGAGACATTTATAGTATTTTGAAGCCGTAAACATGTCAGGCTAAATAAATCAAATAAATCATTGACTTCTGCTGTCTTCATTTGTTTTAAAAACACAGATTTTTTTTACTATTTAAAACAGCATCTTTGGATATATTTTCTGTTTGAGATACTGCTGTCCTAAAAAGCTAAAAAAAAAAAAAAACATAAATAAAAAATCAAATATAGGAACGGTATAGCAGAAAATTTTGGCAGTTTTAAAACTTTGACTTTTCCAAACCGCATCAAACCTTGAAACTGATTATTGTCCAATGCCTTTTCATTTTTGTCTGTTTACTTTAAAAGTCATGTGATCAATGTTTTATTTATTTCGTAAACAGTACTAATGGTTTAATTGAAATAAAATTAATTTAAATTAATCATGAATACTAGATGGGAAAAGTACAGATGTTGTCTTCAAAATGAAAAGTTGAAATGCTCTAGTTGCTTAAAATTAAAATAAGATAGAAGAATTGCGTGAAGTACTCTGTTGGAATATAAATAAGACAAAAATAGCACTGTATACTGTGTAATTTTAGTCTGTGTATTTTATGGACAAAACCGTGAGAGAAAGCAGTGAGTGTTTATAATAAATATATTCATCCTGTCTCTCCATTATAATGAGGCCATAAATGCTGCATGTTTAACCATTATGATTAAAGCTGAAATGTCTTCTTTTTAAGTGTGCATGTACTGTCCATGCATTTATATTTTGCCCTCTTTTCCTCTTTGCAGGTGTGGGCAGTTGGGAGCTGAAGGCTTGCATATGTAAAAATAATACACAGGAATTCAGAGTAAAGATAAAAGATCAAAAATTGAGAGAAGAGTTACCCAGCAATAGTTACGGCATTACAAACTGCCCAGAAAGATTATTTCCAACAGTGATCGCTGTTATTTATGCTGCCACAAATTCTTAATCATAGTGTATTTTGTCTCTTTTCTCTAAGAAGTTTTGAACTTGCTAAGAGTCTTTTTTTTCCCTGTTTTTTTTTTTTTAAGATCTGACGTTACAGGCACATTAAGGTGGTGTGCCATCTTTTGGAGCTCTTATATCTGGCTAGATATTCATCAGCCTTTATCTCCCTAAAACTGGCAGCTATTTCAATATTCATAGAGAGTTTAGATTTACCAAGTCCACCTCAGCACACAAAGAACCACCGTACAGGTTCTGACAGAACCACCTCATTCCTGTTCCCCGTTCAGCCTGGTCCTTTACAGTCCTGTTCTTTGGACAAGGTAAGCACTCCTCCACCCCAAAACCTGTTGTATTGTTTTTAATTGAGAACAATGCTTCACATTACTGTATGTGTATGTTGGCACTTTGCAGAAACTTTGAGCCCTCTGGACACACAGAATATGACTGCTGAGACACTTAACTTCGGTCCAGAATGGTAATATAATTGTTTTAAGTATTAGACAGACTTCAAATTAACGATGCAAGGTCTGCATCCATGATTTAAATAAATAGTTTTTTTAGCCAATTATTGTTTGTAGTAATAC